CCCTGCAAAGAAAAAAGGAACATACAGCCTGGATCGGATTGGTACAGATTCCAACTCCTACGCTAAGGTGTCACTGATATTGGGTATTGGCCAGGGAAGTATAACTTAGGCTGATAGGTTTTCATATATACCCCTCCTATTTTCCTTTAGAAATGAAGAACGTAGCTTTCAATATTACCCCTCCTTCTAGAATGAAGAATGTATTAGATCTGATTCATTCAGATTTGTGTGGACCATTGACGATGTCATATGGTGGAAATTGGTATTTTGTGATATTTATCGATGACCATTCTAGGAAGACTTGGGTATACACATTGAAGCCTTCTAAACCTGGTTGAGAGATAGACAAGCAAGAAGTTAAAGCGTATCAGGACAGATAATGGTGGAGAATATACTAGGCCATTTGATGCTTTCTGCAAAGAGTATGACATTCGACATAAAACAACACCTTCCAAGACGCCGCAACTGAACAGTTTGGCTGAGAGGATGAACAGAACTTTGATGGAGAGAGTTAGATGTTTACTCTCACATGCAAAGTTGTCTTCTCAAACATGCAGGTTTTGTTTATGATGGGTTTTGAAGGCCGTTCACAGAGTTTCGGGTTGGTTCACTCTGTTTTCCCCTCTTTACAGGTTATTGATACTCTAGAGAGGGGTTTATGGGTAGACAAGGATTGGTTTCCATTTGATCAATGGCCGGGGGTTGTTTTTGGATTGGGCCCAAAAAGGCCTTCCGGTACATGGTCCCGGAAGGTTGAGACCCCCCGGTTCAAACTTGGATGGGTTCAAGACAGACCCCCAGTGGTGGTATTTTCATTGGCTTATGGCCAAGCCCATATTTGGCTATAAGTTTTATTGACCCCAATTCCCAAGAAGGACGATGTTTAAGAAATTCATGATTGGTGTAATTTGGGGAAAGAATCAGGACTATTTGGGAGATATGAAGGCAGCTGTGTGTTCAGAGGTTGCCCAAAATTAATCTGATGGAAGACTCCAAACAGGACTACAGAAGGAGTCCTCCCATAAGACAACAGAACAAAGGATATTGGAGTGGCTGTTCCACAAGAACAAGTGCCCAGAGTTAGGAAATTTCCCAAGTCCCCATTAAAATGAAACCCAAAATTGGAAGGATTTTTTTATTTTGTTGTTCACTTGGTCCCACAGGCACCGAAGGGTTTCTCAAACATTTAAAAGGAATCCTTTTTTAGTAGAGTTGGAACAACTACAAAAATCAGTCAATGAGTTGTACTGACGACTGACGCGGGGGAACCTTTTTGAAAGCCCTTTGAGAATAAGAAGCTATGGAAAAATGAAACACAAGAGGGGAACTGGATTTGAAGCCATGGGTTTAAGATGAAATGAAAGTCCTTGCATGGAGGATGAAACATTTAGCCCGGTGAGGTTTCGCCTAAGGCAAATTAAAGCTCTTGAAAGAACAGTGGGTTGTTCAGGATCAAGCCAGGAAGACACAGCTCCCAACCACGCATTCAAAGCTAGACCTGGTTTGTGAAAAGGATTTCAATCAAAGAAAGGGGTATTGATTTTGATCTTGTCACCAGTGGAAAATGACAATCCATTCGGGACAGTGCTCGAAATTTGGCCCGCCAATTGTATGGAAATCGAGCAAATGAATTAAAGGACTGCCTTCCTATTATGGAGATTTGGAAGAAGAAATTTACATGGAGGCAACCAGAGGGTTTCGTTAGAAAAAGAGGAAAAGACGGGATTGTGTTTGCAACATGAAGAGAGCCTATACGGCTTGAAGGCGGGCCACTTTAGACAGTGGTACAAGAAAGGTTTGAGTCTATTATTGGGGGAGCAAGTACAGAAAAGGACTCTTCAGATCACTTGTGTTTTTTATTGAGAAATTCTCTGATTGATTTGACTACATTGTTTTTTGCTCTATGTGGTTGATTGTTGGTCAGGAAACTTCTAGTAAGTTCTTTGCGTTGAGAGACTTAGGACCAGCAAAGCGGACCAGCAAAGCAGATTCTTGGCATGAAGATCGAAGAGCCAAGAAATTATGGTTGTCACGTGAGAAGTACATTGAGAAAGTACTTCAAAGGTTTAGAATGAGAATGCTAAAGCGGTTAGTTGTCCTCTTACTAATCACTTTAAATTGGGTTCTAAACAGTACCCTTCTATGGGCGAAGAGAAGGAAGAAATGAAAAGATGCCGTATGCTTCAGCAGTTGGAAGCTTGATGTATGCCATGGTTTGTACACGGCCAGATATTGCTCACTCAGTTGGAGTAGTGAGTAAGTTTCTTTCAAATATCCTTGCGGGAAAAGGAACATTGGACTGCAGTGAAATGGTTTTCAGGATAATTTACAAAAATTTTTCCCACCCATTTGCCAGGGAAGCCGTGTCGTGTGGCAGTTAAGATTTACTGAAACGTGAAAGAGGTTGCTGTTGTAACAACAGGACCTAAGATCGAAAAAAAAAAGATCTGAGGCTTGGTGCCTTGTGTCAAAGTTCTTTCCCGACAAAAGGAAGATCGGGCGGCGTGTTCCCGCAAAGTTTGTAGCTCGGTACAAGATGGTGGGCAGGATGCTTAATAGATTATAGCTGCAGGGATGATGAATGGCTAAAACGTCTTCCACTTGAGTGTGTTAGGGGGGAGCATTTTGGGTTGTCGGTGCCCACTTCAAGTGGAACCCCCACAATAAATTTTGGAAAAGAAAAAAAAATAAACACACGTTTTTTATTCTTTTTTTTTATTTTTTTTTTTCCAAAGGTTGGGGGCAACCAACCATTCAAAGGTTGGCATTTGCCATTTTGAACAAGGAGTGCCCGTTGCATTGGTTAATGCCGGGGCCTCTCTCAAAATGCTCTCCATAACCTGCCTATAAATAGAGGCAGAGCAGAACACCACAACCCACACACCAGAACAGAAATGGGAATAAAATGTAGCAAGTAGAGAGTTGTTTATCAGTTTTTTAGGGATGATGTTTCTAAAATGGGAGATGAGAAAATAGTTGGGATATTATTTTTGGGGGGTGGTTTGGGAAACCCACTTTGTTTGCCACTATTTTCTTGTATTAGTGTCTTTTGTATTACCTTACTATTTTTAATTAGTGGGAAGGGAATCTATTTTTAATAGTGGAAGAATGATTCGGAATTTATCCCGTGGACGTAGCCCTAAAACAGTTGAGGGTGAACCACGTAAATTTCTTTGTGTCACATTTCTATTTTTTCGCTGCATTATTTTTCTCTTAATTTGATTGAAAGGGCCCTACAAATGGTATCAGAGTTGATACCCAACAACTGGTATCAGAGCTGATGCCTAACAGCAATTACTCCTCTCCTCCACCATGTAGCTTCCTACTGGTAATGGTGGAAACCTAGAACCTCAGCATAGGCTGCCATCAATTTATGGTGATGGTAGTAATGAAAAAGAAAACATATAATCATGAGGGATGGGATCTTAAACTGCAGTATGGTAAAGTTGTATATGATAATAGAAATCCGAATCAGTATGATATTGTAAATGGATCTGGAAGAAGTCGGTGTTGTAAACGAAACCGTGAAATGGTAATTCATGCACTATTGTGTGAGTTGCTTATTCTTTAGAGTCTTAATAGAACTAGAATAAGCAACTCACACTATTGTGTGAGTTGCTTATTCTTTAGAGTCTTAATAGAACTAGAATAAGCAACTCACACTATTGTGTGAGTTGCTTATTCTTTAGAAGTTTTTTCAAAAAAAAAAAAAAAGTATTATTAATATTGGATAATAAAGCAAGGGTGGAAAAGGTTTATATATATAGTTAGTATTATATGATAATTTTTTGTTTGAGTATTGGATGAGGGATTATATATTTTTTTTTTTGAGTATTGGGATGAGGGATATGAATCACGATATATTGTAAGGTTATACATGCACTTACCACTAATTTATGTCTTGCCGTGCGCAAAAGATATAATTTATTCATCTTAAATTCTAAATGTTGCATTTGAATTAATAGTCTACTCATTTAAATAATTAATAATTGATATCAAAAGTCAATTGTTGAATGATTAACAAGTGATACATGGTATCATTTTATAATTGTAATGGCAATTTCGTATTTCATGTAATAAATAAAGGTTTTTGAATATATCTGAAAAGAAATATTTTTTATTAAAACTCTACCAAAAAGGAAATTAGCATACAATTTTAGACAAAAACAAACAGTTTATTAGTTTAACTCATAAAACTCCCCTAAAAAAGCTAAGAAAAATCAAATAATTTTATTTTACAATATATTATTCAAATTGCTATATTGCATACATTTACCAAGAAAAATAATCAATCTGCAGTGAATAATAAGTAAACCATCAATCAAATGGCTAATGAGTAATAATTCAGTTTAAACTTAACGAAACTTAGACTTCATTGCGAGGAATGAGTGATACAATTTATTTTATAATGTGCAATTAAATTTTTGATAACTAGGCTCTAGTCTAGGAATATTCATAAATGAAAAAGATTAATGTTAAAAAGTATATTTGACATTATATATAATATTTATTTCTTATAATTAACTTATTATTAATATCCACTTTGAATAGAATTATTATAAAATTTATTATTACAAAAAAATTGATCTTACAAATGATATTTTCAATGAAATTTATTTACATAATATAACATGGATCATATGCTAATTTCTTTTTGCCAAATTGATTTCTTTTGCCTAAAGTGATATTGCAATCCTAATACTATTTTTTTTTATATAAACATTTACATTAATTGCTATTATCATGTGTTTTATTATATATGATATATATATATAAGCAAGGATAATATTATTAAAAGGTAGAGAGGGTTATTTGCATCGCCAATATCTGAGAAACCAAGAACCAGACAGAGCAATTTGTAACTGCAGCAGAAATAAGCGCAGAGCGCACTCGCCAACCAAAACATATCTTATATATCATGGTTTAATTTATAAGATTTTACGGAAACTAACTTTTTCTCAATTCATTTTTAAGATTTTTAAAAATAATAATAAGAGACATTTACTATCAAAATCATAAATCAAAACTAAATTTTATTCACTTCTAATTTTAGACAATAGCTACGTTGCTAGCTAACATCTCCCTAACTTCAAATTTATTATCACTACTAATTACCTAACTAAAACTAATTTGAAATGGAAAAGAAATTACATCATCCCCAATCATGATAGTGTGCCCTCCCGATGGCAGAACACTATAAGCATTAGAACACTATAAGCATTGTAGTCTATGATCTGCAGGCTTTTACAAACATTAAACTCAAAACTAACCTTCTGACTACTTTTAGCTTTAACAAAAAGCCTCTTAAACCCAATCACTTGCTTAATATTTGCCCCTATAATTCCTTCCGGAGGCTTGGAGTATACAATCATAACTTCACTTCCATCTCTGGATCCCACATTTTTCAATTCAATATCGAACTGAAAACTTTCCTTACAGGATAAGTCATTAGTTCGGACCGATGGACATGGAGGTGTGAAGGTGTCTTCTTTGTAGTTCAAATTATGGCAATGTTGGAACCTGTTTAGTTTTATATTGACTGATGTTCTTGGAGATGTTAACTTGTAAGTGAAGTTAGTGTAGCTGAGTCCATACCCAAATGGGTAAACTGTAGAGCCATTAAAGAATTTATAAGTTCGACCTGGAAAGCTTAATTCATCATTTGGCCTCAATTGTAGTGATGTCATTGGTAGTTGATCAACAAAATTTGTTTGATGCCAAGTGAGTGGTAGTCTTCCTCCTGAACCGAAAAAAAAGAAAAAAAAAATTACAAAAATTATTAAAAACTGAAATTTCTTAATTAAAACTACTAGTCAGTCAATTACCAGGATTGTGTTTTCCGAAAACAACATCTGCAATGGCCCGACCACCTTCTTCTCCAGGGTACCCAGCCCACAAAATGGCTTTGATGTTGACATTGTTTTTAGCGAAAGTGATATCTATTCCTCCTGCTGACATGATTACGAGAATAACTGGACCTTTGGCAGCATTCGCAACATTGTTGATAAGTTCAGTTTGGTAACCAGGAAGGAGGAGATCCTCCCGATCTCTGGTTTCGGCTTCAACAGACAAGTCAATACCTGAGTACCTTGGGAGTGTGAGTCTATTGAGGTGGTGGTGGTCTATGGCGAAAGATGCGAATAGTCTTATTCCTCGAACTAGAGCTCTAGGCAGATGACTTGATCGATCGAATGGTTGGACGACACTAGCACCGCTTCAGAGATGATGGGCATCGTGGATCGTGATATAATCACAATGGATGATATCGTCGTGGTGTGAGCGGCTGGTCAATCATAGAGTCTATCGCAAGTCACTGATGCAGGAGTAAGGTGCGTAACGGATATAAGTCAATCGACAGCATTCGCAACATTGTTGATAAGTTCAGTTTGGTAACCAGGAAGGAGGAGATCCTCCCGATCTCTGGTTTCGGCTTCAACAGACAAGTCAATACCTGCTAATATTATAGTAGCATCAGCTTCCTGTGCAACTTGCATTGCTGGGAATACCAACTTGTCATCCCTACAAGCAACGTCGACGCATCCACTTGCATAACTCACTTTTGCATATGTCGAAAACCCATCAATAGGAGAGATATATCGGCACGGAATTCCTGTAATCAAAATGTTAATTAGATTTATAATACAATTGAACTGTGTTTGTATTTAAAAAATATGTACCTGCATAATTTCCAATCATAGCCTTTGTAGCGTTAGCGTGTGGACCAACCATAGCTAAGGTTTTGATCGTATCAGACTTCAAGGGTAAAGTATCATCATTATTTTTTAGCAGGACAATTCCGTCCCTCGCAGCTTGTGCTGCTAATTCAATGTGTTGTTCGGAACACACGTCTTTGATGCCAAGAGATTGAAATTGAGGGATTCCATCAAAGAACCCTACTCTCAGAAGCACCACATAGAGATATTTAAGTGACCTATCTATGTCTTCTTCCCCGACCTTTCCTGCTTATCTATGTCTTCTCTTCCCGACCCTTCTCTTGCTTTACTGAAGCTTCATTTACTGAAGCTTCAGTGTTTTTGGTGTAGTATTCTCCACAGTCCAGATCCAAGCCTGCTTTAAGTGTTCTTGCAACTGCATCCTCCTTGGTGTCATCAAGAAATTTATGGCGTTCAACCATAACTTGGATGGAATCACAATCTGATACTATATATCTGTCACGAAAAGAATAAAATCGTTTTCAGTTGTATTAGTTATAGAATAAAGAAATTAAATGAATTCAAGCTGATCATATCTTTACCCGTGAAGATTCCACTCTCCTCTGATGGTTTGATTTAGGAGCTTTGGATCAGCACAAGCAGGTATGCCGTTAACACGATTGAAAGAGCACATAATACTGCTCACATCACCTTCTTTAATGCACATCTCGAAAGGTCGATTAAAAGTTTCTACCATATCTTGTTCATGCACCTGCATTAAGTTATCACTTTAATTAATTCTCATTCATTTTTAAAATTAAGATGATTTTAAATTTTGGAAAAAAAAAAAGGTTTTTCTTCCAGAAAATTACTCTAGCATCAAAGATATAACGTTCAGTGTTATTCCAATTTTCAAGATCATATGCAGTAAAGTGCTTGCAACATGAGGAAACTTTGAGAGGTCTAGAGTCTGGATCTGGGTGATTTTCAGTCCCTTCCACATCTTGTAAGCCTCTTACAAAACTAGAAGCATATCTACCTACGATGAAAGGATCTTCTCCAGGTGTTTCAATGAAGGATCTTCTCCAGTGTGTTTTCAATGGGTCTTCCCCATCGAGGATCCCTTACTACATTCAATAACGCGGGCTCCAAGAAAGTTAATCCAGCCGACCTAAATTGTAGCGATTGCCGCTTGCTTCTGTCGAAAAGCCTGCATTAGTTAAATATTTAACATTAATACTAACCTGTTATGAGCAAAACTCCGACTTTTTAATGCTAGAAAAGCAGACCAAAACTAATTACTGACCCAATAGTTTTTTCCATAAAGGACTCATTAAAAGCAGCCTTCGTTGTGAGTATTACAGTAGGCGAAGGCTAGTTTGCACAAGGAACAACTTCATCAAAGACAAGTTTCCTGGGCCTGTACTCGGACACACAATGCATAGGCTTAGACAAACCATTATATTTAGGTAAGCCCTAACTATAGGCAGCACCATAAGCCCAATGTCCGAGCTGTTGGAACCTTTCTTGGGCAATGTCATACGGTTTAAAGTGCCCTAGCATCATAGGGAAGGGACTTGTCACAGAAGGAAAAATTTGCCATGTCCAATCCAAGGGCAGCATACCTAGAAGGGTCACAGACATAAGTGAAGTTAGTCCCAGTAAAGGAAACATCATCTTTGCCTAATGTGGTGGCGTCTAATGGATTTTTCAGTCCATTTCTAGCTGCCGTAGTAGAAATGGCAAAGAAAGCAAAACATAAAAGATTGATAATGAGAATAGCACTTAAGCTTTCAGCCATGGCCTTTTTAGATTTTTCAGAGGTGCTTATGGTTCCAAAACTGGTTATGTTATTTATAGGCAATTCTTGATTTTTTTTTTATTTTTTATTTTTTTATAGTTGGTTTTCAATATCTTGAAACTTTCTAAGCTAGCTGTTGATTTTATAGTTGGTTTTCAATATCTTGAAACTTTCTAAGCTAGCTGTTGAGTAAGATTCATATATATTTTCAGTTAAGATTCATATATATTTTCATAGAACTTAATCTTATCTTTTGTTGTCCTTTTATTCATAAAGGAAAAAAAAATATTATTTAGTGTTTATCCAATAATAACATTTCTGATAAAAGGAAAAATCTTCGTCTGTTGTTGTTTCGAAAATCTTTTACTTACATATTTATCCACTAATATGATTTGAAAATGAAAAGTTCTTTAGTCTTTTGCTTTGTTTTTTCAATAAGAATCTTTTTTTTAGAGAGAGAGAATTTAATAAAATAAGTTGTTCTCTTTCCATAAAATAAAAATAAATTATCTAACATGGAAAAGTAAATTTTATAAAAACTAGTATGGTCTGTGATTTAATTTTGTAAATATCATATATATAAGTATTTAATTTTACTTATTATATAGATAGCATAATTAATCTGTGATTTTTTTTGGATAAAAATTATTAATAATCTGATAAATATTTTCTTTCTATTTGATTTTTTCTAAGTATTTTTTTTCACACCCTATGTAAATGGAATAAATAATAATTGATTTAATATTATATATCATATATTATATTTTGAGAATAACTTTTGGTTTTATTAGACTATCATCATATGTAATTTTTTTCACATATGAAACTCTCCTATACATGTTTTTTATTTAATGGTTTTACATATTGTATGGATGGCATAATAAACCCCTACGATTTTCATTCACTTTAATTAAATCTTTTATGCAAATTATATTGGTGAATTCATTAGGGTAGCGTTAAGGAATCATGGAAAATTCACATTTACATATTTTCTCATACCAACAAATATAATAAAAATAATACAAATATTTCTCCAGCTTGATGTCTTTATTTCTTGCCTAACATTTAAATATCATTTCAAATATTACAATAATTTGATAATAATATTACATATATACCACATTTAATTTTTCTCTAATTTTAACTTAAAAAATTATTACCAAGGCATTTTTTTCTTAACATCCATTCCCAAAATTATCCATTCCCAAAATTATAGATGCTTGCTATTATAAAATTTTTATTCAAAAATAAAATCGTTTATTTCTGAATTATTTTTATAGTAATTAACACTTCCACATTTTGAAAGTTTTATTACTTCTTACGAACAGAAAACAAAGAATTTATTCTCGTATGATTTGGTGGGAAAGATATTGCCCAAATAACCTCAATTTAATGTACAATTTTGTTTAATAATGTTCATACACTTCCATAGTTATTGGGATTATTACGATCCACTCAATTGCAAAAGATAACTTTGTGAAATAAAACTGCCATATATAGACAATCCAGAAACCAGATATAACATTGGACTTTTGTAATTTGAGAATCAATAGATTATTCTGTTATTTTTACCTGTTAATTGGTTCTCCACATTTTTTTTTACCTACTTATTCTCCTCTTATTTCTTTAACAATCAAATCCAAATATAGAAAATAGTTAAAAACAACCTAAAATACCCAAACTTTTGTTTAGTACAAATACAAGAAGAAGGCAAAAGAAAAATTCGCCAAGAGAAAGATTTTCATTGACAGAGAAAGATTTTCATTGACACATATACGAGAAGGCAAATAAAGAAAATTTGGCGAGAGAGAAAAATCCCACGAAACCTCATGTCTTCGAAAATCTTTTTCTTTGCCCTATTTTTTACCATGATTTCTACTAGTCACCAAGCCTCAGAATTGTTAAATCAATCCTGTGACAAAACCTTATACAAGGATTTCTGCAAAGAAGCTTTAGGATCAGCCCCAGCAAGTGACATGCAAAGCTTGACAAAAAAAAAGGTGCACTTGACACTAGCATCAGTGAGCCGCCAAGAAGTATTGAAGCTCATCCCCAAATTTGCTCGAAACCAAGTTCCAGATGCCATCTGTAAAAGCAGGCTTTTACCAGATTGCTCTGAGGTCTTCAGAGCCGCCCTTGATCGATTAAGGAAATCAACGGCTCGCTGTTTGAATGCTAAGGCTTATAATGATGTTAGATACATATAATGATGTTAATACATGGATTAGTGCTGTGATGACCAGTTCTGAGACTTGTGAGGAAGGTTTCAATGGAGTTACATCTCCATTGACTAGTGTCAACACAAGATTTAGCCAAATTTCCAGTATTATTTTAACATTTTCAAATCTCTCCGCCAAAAATTGAACTCTTATGTGAACAATCATTTATGGAAATGAATCCATATTAACATTTGATTTTATAATTTTTTTTAAATTTTTCTAGTTTCTCTTGTTTCTTGCACTAAATCACTAGTAAGTCGATCTAAACTTGCTATTTAGCTTTGAAATGCATTTTAATTAAATAAAAAAATCAAGTTGTTAATTAAAAATTGAAAAATGAGATTTTTTACTCCCACATGCATGTTTAGAAACTAGAGGGAATAAAAATCAATTTGGTCCATGAACTTGTTTAACAGAATAAAAAATGTTAGATTTGACCTTTAGGCCAATTTAGCCCTTCAACATCTATAAAATGATTAAAAAGATCTGATTTCACGATTTCACTTTTTAAGGTTAATTTAACCTGAGCTTTATTTTGAATTTTTATAAATTAATAATTTATTTAATTTAACAAGTGATTGATTTTTATCTCTTTTTGGTCCAACACTAAGAAACTCTTATTAACTTTTTTTCAACACTTATGACATATAAATTAAATTCATGAAAACATTCATTTCTTTGTAATCCATATATAATTTATAAACATAATGCCCGTACTAAACTTCAATTTATTCACATGAAAATGCACTATATTTCATAAGCGATAAACCCAGTAATAAAGGGTTGATTTTAAAATGTTCAAATTTAATATATATTTATAAATTCAAATTATAAATGCATGTACAAAGAAGAGATACATTGTATTCATTTATTCATTTTTCCTACATTTTAATAAATTAATTAACTTTTTAATAAATAATTAATTAACTTTTTAATAAATTAGTCGGCTCGATCCCAACTACAGTTTTTATTTAATAATTTTTACATTATAAGTACAGTGAAGAATTAGATATTAAATTGACTCAAAATGTCAAATATGATTTTTTTAATTATTTCAAATAAGTTCAGGAGTTAAATTGGCTTAAAAAGTAAAATCAGATCTTTTTAATAATTTTATACATGTTTAAAGGCTAAATTGCCCCAAAAGTCAAATTTGACTTTTTTTTTTTATCCTGCGAAACAAGTTCAGGTACCGGATTGACCTTTATTCCAAATTAGAGCTCCCTCTTTAATTTCTATGATTTTGGTTGAGTTCTATTGATGGAAAATTATTGTGGATTGACTTATGGACCAAATCAATGAAATTAAAGATTTTTAATTGAAAAGAGTATATTTCTGACCACACTTGAAAAAAAAAAAGATAAAATCGATTTTTAGAAAATCTTTAATTTCATTGGTTTGGTCTATAAGTTGGATAATAGACCCAATTTAGACAAGTTTTTTTCCATAAAAGTTACCGGAACAATTAATAGTCACTAAAAAAACTAACATTGTTAAATAGGGCATACCAAGGTATAGCCTAGTAGTAGGTGTATATATATGACCCGACAATAGATTCGGGTTCGAATTCTCCTTCACCTAATATCCGAAAAAAAAAACATTGTCAAATAGGAATATTCATGGTACAAGATAACATTGTGAGATAAATGTGTCATTATTATGATTTTTTTTTTTTTACTTTTATCCTATTAATTTGTTCTTTTCTTATTATGTTTTTTTTTTTTACTTTTATCCTATTAATTTGTTCTTTTCTTATTATGCTCTTATCCAAAAATACAAAATAGTTACAAACACCTTAAAATAGAACCTATCAAAAAATAGAAAATAGTTAAACGTAACTTAAAATACCCAAACCTTTGTTTAGCACAAATACAAAAAGACGGCAAAAGAAAAATTCGCCAAGAGAGATTTTCATTGACATATATACAAGAAGGAAAATAAAGAAAAATTAGTGAGAGAAAAAAATTCCGTGAAACATCATGTTTCCAAAATCTTTTTCTTTGCCTTATTTTTCGCCATGACACCAACAGGGCTCAGATTTAATAAATCAATCTTGTGAAAAAACATTATACAATAACTATTGCAAAGAAGCTCTAACAGTAGGCCCAACAAGTGGCCCGCCAACCTTGACAAAATATGCACTTTACATAGGACAAAATATGCACTTTACATAGCATCAATTGAGTGCAACTGAAATCTCAAGAGCTATCACGAAGCTCAACACAATTTCAGAAAATGAATTTTTGGTGAAGCAAACGACTAAAAGATCGCTCTAAATAGTTAATTAAATAGTTAATTTTGTGTTACTTCTCAATAATTTATGTATTTTTTAAAAGATAGAGACTAAATAATTAATTTCACTAAATTAAATGTACATAATAATTTACTCCCAATAAACTATTTTTGGTAAGTCTAACACGTGGAGTGACCATATTGAATAAGGGGATTCAATTGCTTAAATTGGTCTATATTTCTTTTTTTAAAAACTTTCCGTGATTATATCAAGCTATAAATAATTTTTAATTAGGATGGGAATTGAATTCCGGTAGTCAAACCCTAATTAGCAATTACATAAAACTCCATCGAGAGAGAATCTCGACATCCACGCTGCCATGGAAATCAGAGTAACTGAAGACATATTGTAGCGGAGATATTCTTAAAGCTAAAGGTAAAATCACTTGTTTCGTTTCAAATGTATATCAAAATCATGTCATTCTTTAATCTATAGTCCAAACTTCATCAAATCACACCTCCACCAACATGTTAGAAAAACAGAATAGAACAGAGTTGCTGAAAAAAAATAAAAAGAACTAAGAGGAATTTCAGCAAACTGCTGGTGTGCACAGAAAATGTGAGAGAAGAATAGTATGCATTTCCATTCATCAAATGCTCTTTAAATACAATCACAGCATAACCAAATCCCAAATTACGTGGACACAAATTATCTCACGTCAACAAGAAAATAGGGAATCAAATAACAAATATTGACTTATTAAAACAGAAAATTAATATCACTAACTAAAAATGGATAACGTGCAGAGATACTTTGCATTACTCTCTAACACAACAATCCCGAGTTGATTCATCCAAATTCTTTTGTGGTTCATATTTTTATGATGTTAATGATTTAGAAGAACCTACGCCAATTAAATATCTCTTGAAGCAACTGCTGCGATTTTTAAATTACAAGAATTGCAGGATTTTATGTTCTTGTGATGGTTTGATATTGTTACATATCTCTCATCCAACTCTTTATTCCAAACTTCGAAGGAAAACCAGAGTCATTGCCTCGAAGTTTCTTCCATGGTATCTTTTTAGTAATAACGTTGTCTCGAATCCTAGTCGTTACTATTCCATTATCATATGGAACCCTTCCACTAGAGAATTGCCAAACCCTAAAAATAGTTCTTTAATGTCTCTTACTCTTAAGGATTAGGTTACGACGCTGCTACTGATGATTATAAAGTTATACAATGTGCGTATAGCGATGATGATCATTTAAAATAACTCATTGTTCTTTCACTGAAATCTAATTCTCTATGAAAGATCAGAGATTTTAACTTCAAAATTAGACTTAGTAAAGCTGGGAAATTTACGCACTGAGCTTTCCACTAGGTTGTAGAATTGGGAAATTTCAGCGAGGTTATTGTGGCTTTTAACTTAGCAGATGAGAAAACATTACAACAGCAACTTCCCAACTGTAAGAAACAGGGTCTTGTCAATGTTTGAGTTAAATGTTCTGCAAGGTTGCCTTTCTTTCTTAAACTCAATTTGTGTTTCTGGAGATCAATCTCCTTATGTAGATGTTTGGGTAATGAAAGAATATGGGGCGACAAGTCCTTGGACCAAATTGATATCCATCCAACAGATGACAATATACTCGGTTTCAGCACTTTTCTTTTGAGAATAATGCATTTTTTATACTTGAGAAGTCACATTCATTATCTTTATTGCTACGGTATGACTTGAAGAATCAGGAATTGAAGACTTTTTTTTGATTAGGATTAAAAATACCAGAAAAAGTTTAGTATTTTCAAGAATTTACCTCAAACCATAGGCTTCCCCAACACACCCGTAATTAGTTGAAAAACGCTAAAAGAAAATTGACAAAAAAATAATACAGCGGAATCAGGAAAACATCTCATTCTCTTGAGCTAAGAAAAGGAGATGCAAAATATCCCAAAAAAAAAAAAAAAAAAAAAAAAAAAACTCCAACCTACAATGTAAAGGATTCTTAGACATATATTATATTATATATATATTTGGTTTATAATTTTTCTTTGAAATTTTTTGTTTATATTTTTCTTTGAAATTTTTGATTTAAGCCTATCTTAACTCCATTTTATCCGTATCAAATTTCCTTTTGACGTTTAAAATTAATCCAACATTGAATTTTCGTTATATACTCTACAGAATTAAATCTTAATATTTTTATTATCAATAGAATTGTATATAATTACACATTTAACATATTACAATATCAGAGAACAATGTAATTAAATTAATTTGTGAATATTTTTCATATATATCAAACATTTTATTTTTCACGTGTACCAGATATAATTATTTAGTTTCTACGTGATTAGCTTTTTGATACAATACAAGTTATGAGCGCAAAATGAGTCAAAACAGGAAAATGTCCAGGTATAAAAATTTATAGACTGTTTGGGCTTTTATTTAAAATATGGGCTAAAATAATTCCTAAATTATTTAAAATGCATTTGTGTTAGTTTGGAGTTCATTTTGGGCTATATTTATACATGGGAAATTTTATGAAGTAATGACATCATTAGGCCTGTTTTGGCAATCTTGAAATTTTTGGGCTTTTAGCTCAAAACTCATTTTAGGACCCATATATTTCGGTTGGACAGTTCATTTGTGCTTATTTTGGATCACTGGAACTTGAAGAGATAAGAAGGTAATAGAACATAAAGAGTTAAGGGAGCTATGGAAGACTCATCCACTTTATGGCTTTAATTATTGTTTTA